CCTGTTGTTTGTATGCCACTTCTTACCTCTCAATACAGGTATCTCATGGCGTGTCTTAGGCTGTATTGCTTTTTATGTTTTAAATTTGACTAACGCTCATGCGTGAACGCGCTCGCCTACTCACATGTGACATTTCAAGCAAGTCTAGTCTGAGCTTTTGGAGTAGTCGCAACACGTTCGACTGAAGTGGTGACCTCTACTTGGAGTGAAACTCGAGTTCAGAGCTTTTTACGGAACTAGTGCGCCAGGACACGAGGAAGGCTGTTCAAACGATAGTAATGTGAACGTGAATTCTACACATCTAACAACCACCTACAATTTACTCACTTTGGTAAGGTAGTCAAGGACATCACATGAGTGACAATTTTTTTCATAAGCCACTCGAATGAAAGCTCAGTCCAGTGATATTTCGTATGCTTAGCTCCAATTTGGATGGAATATTGGTTTCATTTGCTTTGCTAGTCCGCCAAACACATTCCTTTATCAACAGTGCGTATTTCTTCACATCTGCAGACTGTCTCACACCAGCCTTCGGNAAATCGAGAGACAGAAGTCGGGTTCGAACTATGGACCTACCGGTCAGTACATTCGAGCTGTAACCACTGAGCCATCTCGTCCCCCCTATACTCAAAACCAAAGTGCACACATGTGGACCTGGAACCGTATAATACTGTTCGTAAAAACCAGATGGAACTGTACCTCAGAGAAGAAAATACTACAATACTACACAGGTTCTGGTTGTCTTTTTAGATACGTTTCTTCTTAGTTCGACGCCAGCTACTGCGTTGCGCCACCTAGGATAATCTTTCGCTCCATTTTTCCGTTGCAGACATTTGATTTACAAATTGATAATGCCCACCGCCTTTGTTTCACAATCTACCGGCACGCTGATGTTTTCTCCGAGGCAGAGGTCAAGGTAAGAATTCTAGTTTAGGCCTGGCTCCTTGTCCTCTTCTCCTCTCATTGTAAAGAACTGCTTTCGCATAATGCAGTCTTTCGTAAATTGGTCGATACGAAAATTCTCGAATAAGAATGCGTTTGGTCATACAAGAATCATCGGTTCCCTCGCCTGAGTATGATCTACAATACTGCTGGAAATCCTCTGGAAATCCCTCTGTTTACGGACCAAATATTGAGAGACCACGAAAAGCGCTTCACTTTTAGTTCTCTGGAAAGCTACTTTCTGTCCAGTGGAAACCGTGGTATGTTTTTCTATCTTCAGATTTTGTGTGTGAGGTATATTTTATGTCCAGTCTTGACAGGAATTGCCCATATTTTGTGTCCTCCACTCTCTACTGTTTGTTTTCTGAAACAGCTCACCAATGATTTACTCTGTGACAAGTGCATCGGTATGCCTATCAAGACACATGAACCTTCCCCGAGGACGGTAAGTGAGTTCTGTTATAAATCTCAGTTCCCAGTGGTTACCGGATTTTGGGTTGTTTCAGGAAAAAAGAACTTTCAGGTCCAGCTAGCTGAACCGTTTCAAACCTGTTGTTTGTATGCCACTTCTTACCTCTCAATACAGGTATCTCATGGCGTGTCTTAGGCTGTATTGCTTTTTCTGTTTTAAATTTGACTAACGCTCATGCGTGAACGCGCTCGCCTACTCACATGTGACATTTCAAGCAAGTCTAGTCTGAGCTTTTGGAGTAGTCGCAACACGTTCGACTGAAGTGGTGACCTCTACTTGGAGTGAAACTCGAGTTCAGAGCTTTTTACGGAACTAGTGCGCCAGGACACGAGGAAGGCTGTTCAAACGATAGTAATGTGAACGTGAATTCTACATATCTAACAACCACCTACAATTTACTCACTTTGGTAAGGTAGTCAAGGGCATCACATCAACTGTCATACGAGTGACAATTTTTTGGATGAATCACTTGCATAAAAGTTGTGCTCAGTGATATTTCGTATGCTTAGCCCTATTTTGGATGGAATATTGGTTTCATTTGCTTTGCTCGTCCGCCAAACATATTCTTTTATCAATAGTGTGTGTTTCTTCACATCTGCAGACTGTCTCACACTAGCCTTTGGCAGGTAGCCTTGCTTAGTATTCACTTGTGGTTGTCCTGTTGTTTCGCTCATCTGATGCATTCAGTCCCAACATTTCGGGCTGACTGATCTCGGTTACCTCTCTCTCCCTCTTCGGTGGATGGGGGTTCAGTGGCACTCTAGTAAGCGAAACAGTTCAGAAACTTGTCATTTACACCAGAGTTGTCGGTTGACCAATGGGAATTAAGCTGGCACCAGGTGTGAGAACTCATACGAAATCTAGCCTTGATAGACGAAGTACACAGATAATTGGTGTGCATCTATATCTCATGCAAACAAACATCGGCAGTGAGCACAATCCGCTTGAGCTTCAGGAAGGGCAATAAGAGGTTTCCATTGCGTAACATTGAGAAAAACGCTCAGTCGCGAGTTTCAAGGTAAAAAAGTGGAAGAAATTTCTTCAGCATGGGTACGAACGACTACGTTACCCATGAACGCCTAACCGTTATGACTTTCTGTATGTCGGCAACTACAAAAACAGACTGCCCTTCATATCAATGCACTGTTTGTGTATTCCGGGTCGACGTTGTAGATTCTACTACTTGCCAATACGTTAGTAGCTAAAATTGTATGCCAAAAACAGAGACAGACAAGAAGTTCAGGTCCACCTGATAATTCAGGTGCATCAGACTGGAGGTGCGCTGTTGCGACGGCATGGTCTTCAAAGCTGACCGTGACGTCTGATGAACTCGCATTTCACCCACCTGGCCCTACCTCAAGGTCAACCTGCAACATAAGATTACACGTATTGGTTCTCCTCGAACACATGCCTAATGAACTTCTGATTTGGGTAGATAGGGTCGCTCTGTAGTCTTGAGTTGTGCATTCTTTCACCTACGAGCTCAGCAAACAGGTGGACTTTTGGACTATTGTCCCAGACCAAGTAAATGCCTTCGGAAACCTTGATTGAGATTTTTCACTGAAATTCCACTTCGAAAAGTTACCTCGACTGTGATATTCTCAGAAACTTACGCTAGACAAAAATATTCTGTGTTTCTCAACAATTTTTCTATTTGGCAAGTCACTGGTTGCGATTGCATTCCAAAATCATGGCAGTTATTGAAGAAAAACTGGAAATAACTCAGACTTCTAGTTAATGCCACAAGCCAAGATGCACACGTATCTTTGGTTCAGTGAAGTTAGTCTGTCTGGATTAGCTTACTGAAATAAGTCCACTAGATTATGTGGATTATGTGGTACTGCGGTCGGCCTCACCAGTGGTTTTATTTTGTTCTTCAATGATACGCGCTGCAGATGACCTTGACGAGCGCCCTCTCTTTCTTTCCAAAAGACTCGAAGCTGAATTACCGACCTGCCCAGAAGCGAAGGGGACTGACCTGGTTGAAGAGATTTTCACTCCCATGCGCGCCAACGAACACAATAGAGTAATGATAAACAAGTTCAATGTAAGCTTGTAAATTCAGTTCGACTGACTTTTGGTTGGAGAATCAGTGGGGGGTTGGTGATCCTATTACTAATGGAACATGGGGACATTTTGTTCCAAGCGTGTTATCCGCACTCGAGGTGATAATGTCGGCGCGTTGTGGTGTGGCGAAGCGACGGCGGGCGGTTGATGATCGGCTCTGCGCTTTTGCTTATTCATATAATTTTAGGAACAAGCGATTGGCTATCTGGGCAGACCCTTTCGCTAGATCGTTAGCTCATGTTATGAGCTTAACCTCTCCGATCCCTACCCCATGGCCCATCGTCTAGGCCGTACGTCTGACAGTCGCTTGAGTTTGAGTTATCAGGCTGAGTTCGCAACCCGTTCTTCATAGATACACATATATTGAATCTAGTTCATCATGTCGGTTGACTGAAGCTCCCAGGAGCTTCCTTGTTTCCTTTGTCACGCCGCATGCCCGAAACTCCACCTTCTTTCGAACCAAAACGGTGACCTTCCTGATTCTCATATATGGAGACCAAAGAGAATACGTTTCTCCTCACATACCTACCCCATGTTCTTGATCCATGTGGACCCGTGGGGATTCCGCAACCCTCACCCATCTGAAATTGGCCTGCATGACACCAGGGCTACTGAAGGGCTATCAAGATTCAATGTTTCGCTCCATCTGAGATTGGCCTGCATGACACCAGGGCTACTGTTTAATTGGAGCATGAAGGGCTATCAAGATTCAATGTTTCGCTTCAACTGGTAAAAGGAAGAAGGCCTTCGCTGCGGAGTCATTTATTAGAAAATGCCAACTGACCAGTAACAGACTATTGGACAGGGGAGCAAAACTCTCATATACATCTTGTTTACAAAACTGAACATCCATCTTCTCCTGGATGCGTCTTCTTGAACTTTTCTGGATATTCATTGACTCAAATCATTCATTGCTCAAATCCATGCAAATGCGACAAAGCGATTCCACACATTCCGCAACAGATCTCCCTTTTCAAGAAACGCAAAGCGAACTTACGAGAAGAAAACATACTACTCGCGTGCCTCCCCATCAGTAGTATCATCGTTACACTGGTAGGCGAACTCCAGTAAAAGAG